CCCCTTTTCCGGCAACACAGAAAGGAGAATTCTACTTAGTAAGGGATATAATCCCTAAGCGCGGCCGAAGGCCGCCCAAGCAGAAATAAGTTCTGTGCAAAAATACTTCCTCTCCCCTTTTCCGGCAACACTGAAAGGAGAATTCTACTTAGTAAGGGTTATAATCCCTAAGCGCGGCCGAAGGCCGCCCAAGCAGAAATAAGTTCTGTGCAAAAATACTTCCTCTCCCCTTTTCCGGCAACACTGAAAGGAGAATTCTACTTAGTAAGGGTTATAATCCCTAAGCGCGGCCGAAGGCCGCCTACGCAGAAAGAAGTTCGGCGCAAAAATACTTCCGGCCCCCTTTTCCAGCAACATAGAAAGGAGAAAAGCCAGCAAAAAATCCGAAAGCCGATCCGAAAAAGGACAAAAAAGTGGATGAAGTGTGGATTTTTGTCCGTTTACTGATTCCATTTCCGTATACTTTGACGATCCGTTTTCCCACTAAAGTGTGCGGCAGAGACGTATGTACAGACAACAGTATGTGAAACGGATACGTTTTCGGCTGTTTTTTCTGAAATTTCTCTGATAGAATTTTTCGTTCAATACGCTTTTCTTCTGCACTTCACAGATACTTTTTCATGGTTCAAAAGAAATAAAATAAAATTAGGAAGCGCCTGACGGAATTCGAACCCGGCACCTTCTGGAAGCTAACGAATAGCGGCACACTCCTCTGCACGCTCAGCCACTGCCGACTACGAATGTATGCTTTCAAATGTTTAGCTTAAGCAAATAAAATACATTTATTGCTTTCAAATGACATCATCTTTTTCGAACGTTTTCCGGATACAAAAATTGATGATAAGTGTAGGAGTTTTTTGTATGCGTTTTCGGATACGGAAAATTGAAGTAAACTGCACTGTCGGCAAAATTTACGTTTCTTTGCTGGCTGGGTACATACATATGTATGAAGAAGCACGCTTTCTATATGTATGTAGAACTTTTTATTTTTTTGATAGAATCCTTTGAACTTTACAAAGTAGAATTTTGGAAATTTAAAAATTTATAGAAACAATTTTGTACGTAGAAATAGAAAACTTGTTACTTCACATGTATGAGCGCCTGCTATTGGGAAATGAAAATATGGTTTTTTACAAAAAAAAACTAGTCAAAAAGGATGGCCGCGCGAAAATGGGCACATATGTATGTATTTTAAAAAGGGCATCATATGGACCAAGGCACATTAAACAGGTAGTATCAGTAGAGCAAAAACAACATTTGCGTGTATTTTGTTGTGGCTTCTGGTATCGAAAGTGTCAAAAACTGTTCTGAATTTTTTCTTCTAAATCAAAGCGTGCCATGTGAAATTCAAAAAATTATAAAAAATAAAAAATTGAAATTGGAAAAAAGAAAAATTGATGCAACTTTCTTTCCTAGTAAATTTGTTTGCTTCTCGAAGCATTGATCCATCCTTTGCGAGGCCCAGTAATCAGCGGTCGTGCTGCCGAGTTGGGCGAACGTTCCAAAAGCTGCTATTCAATCGCTTGTTTTGTATGGAAAAAGGTTTCACAAGCAAATGGATTTTAACAACTTATAATTTTCGTGAGAAAAAAATTAAAAATATTTGACATTTTCGAGACCAAATAATTTGAAAATAAATCAAATCAGCTGCTCTACTGATACTACCTGTTCAATGTACCTTGATATGGACTGAATAATGAAAGCTGATATCAATCAATGGTTGTAATGCATAATTATTTCATGTTCTGCATATTTTCCAGTCTTTTAAAGAAACAAATTATAGAAACTGTAGGATTGTAGGAACGTATATACGCGTGTGTGAATAGGGCTTTAGGCATATACATGTGCTTGTGTTTAGACCGTAAGAAGTAGATTAAGTAACTAGACCTTAAGACTAGTTGTAACTTTAGCGAGTAAGACCCGTTGGCTGTAAAACGCTATGTGCCATTTTAAAAGAAATAAAGAGGATCATTCGATTTTGGACACCGAGACCGACGGCCGCGTTTGATTTGTTATTTTGCCACCTGATACATTTCATCAGAAGTGGTTTTAGAACCAAATTAAAGTAAAAGTAAATTTCGATATCAAAGTAGCGCACAAAAAGAAAACTAAGTAAATAATTTTACGATGAATCGCGAAGCTGTGAACGCGGAAAAATACTCGCTATTGCAATTAAAAACTTGGTGCACGGCCGCGGGCATCAACGCGAGTGGTGCAAAGGCTTCATTAGCGGCTAGGCTAAGCGAGCTTTCTGCCGAAGCCCGAGGATTATGCCCAGGCATTGACAAAGCGGGTGAGCAACGGTACGACGCAAAGACCACCGAGCAAGGTATGCAAAGCGAAGACGACGGTGAAGACAACGGCGAGAGCAATGCAGGGGAAAACGTAGGGGACAACGTAGAGGACAACGACGAGGACGATAGCAACTTGAACGGCAACGGCGTGAGCAACGGCAGAGTATTGCGGAGCAAAAGTGCACAACGGCGCGGTAAAGTAATGGTGACCGATGACGACGACCCTGTATATGTGCAGAGCGGCGTAGCATACGTCCGTAACGGTGCTTTCGGAAGTCGTCCAGTTAGAGACGCCGAAGAAAATAGCGGCAAAAGTAACCGTTCATCAGGCCAGTTAACCGCTATTCGCGACAATGACGACGCCGAAGCAGCAGCCCGCAAAATTTAACTACTGGAGAAGGAGATAAAACTACTTAAACTCCAGCAGGCACAGTGGGAGCAGAACAGGTCAATGGCGAGCAGGAGTAAAGCAGAAGACGGCATCCCATTTGAGACGTTAAAAGAGGTTATACCAACCTACGACGGCGGCGATGGTTTTAGTGCGTGGTATAACCAGGTGTTGCACTATCGCGAAATTTTTAAAGCCAACGATGCGATGCTGTGTGTAGCTGTACACTTAAATTTAAAGGGCGCCGCTTTAGCGTGGTACAACGCGAAATCAACGTTTCATAAGAGCGCGGACGAGCTGCAACGTAATATGAAGACAGTTTTTACATCAAACGAGAGAAAACTTGAACGCCGGCGTAAGTTCGAAAAGCGGATGTGGGTGCCTGAAGAAAGCTTCATTAGCTACTATAACGACAAATGCACGTTGAGCAGCGACTTGAGTCTTAGCGACGAAGAGTTCGCAGACTACCTCATCGAAGGAATACCAGACCGGCAGCTGCGCACACAGGCAAGACTCCACAATTTTGCGTCGGCAAACGAAGTCGTTAGAGCGTTCAGGTCAGTCACGTTGCCAGAACCTCCAGCAGCAAAACCACGCTCCGATGAACGCTTCAGATGCTACAATTGCAACTGTTCCGGGCACTATGCCAAAGATTGCAGAAAGGCTAAGCGAGAAGCCGGATCGTGCTACGCATGTGGAGAGAAGGGCCACTATGGAACAGACTGCAAGCAGTACAAGAGGGAGAAGAATACTTTCGTAAGTTATTTTAGATTGTATGTAGCACATGTTAATACTTGTATGTTTATAGAATGTCTAGTTGGTTCATAGCGTAATGAAAGAAGTTGTGGTACCGTCAGGAGTGAATTTGGATGAAGCAAATGATTCGTACTACGGTTTAAATAAATCAGTTTAGAATATACTCGGAAAAGTTAAATGTATCGTCAAAGTTTTGAATAAAGACGTTTTAGTTGAATTCTTAGTGGTTCCTAATGGGTGTATTGGTTATTCGGTGCTACTGGGTAGGGATTTTATTGAGGCAAGTAACGCTAAGTTAAAAATCGGAAATGTTGAGTTTATGGATAGGGTAGTACAAGTAGGGGCAGCTAATGGTGTGAACAATGTGAACGAAGTCGAGAAATTGGACGAAGTTGAGAAAGCGGACGAAGTCGAGAAAATAGACAAAGTTGAGAAAGTTGAAGAAGTTGAGCAAGTTTGCAATTTAGGTACAACAAAGAAGTTTACGTGTGAAAACATGAGCAACGCCAATGATGTGATTGAAGATAATCAGTTTAATGAGGCCATAAACGAAATTATGGCAATAGAAGTGTGCGAAAAAACTGGTATGGACCTCAAAGTAGGCGAAGAAGTCAACTACGATGATAAAATACTTTTTCAGGGAATTTTCAAAAGAGTTTACGTAAACTCGAAGAAACAAGACAAACCAATGGTCAGAAAAGAAATGAAACTTGTGCCAGAAAAAAAGGTTACATACGCCCTAGTGAGTCAGAGTATGTGTCACCCATAGTGTTAGTTAAAAAGAAAACGGGTGAACTTCGTTTGTGTGTCGACTACAGGAAATTAAACAAAGTTACGGCAGAGGATAGTTACCCGATGCCTCTTATAGACGATTTGTTGGACAGGTTAGCGAACAAGAAATTTTTCACAAAGCTAGATCTGAAGAACGGGTTTTTCCACGTTTTTATGAGCGAAGATTCGATAAAGTATACGTCGTATACACCTTTAGGACAGTATGAGTTCTTGAGAATGCCGTTCGGATTGAAAAATGCGCCGGCAACATTCCAAAAGTTTATTAATAAAATTTTTTCAGAGATGATCCGTAAAGGCGAGGTTATAGTTTATCTCGACGATATCATGATAGCAACGGAGAGCATCAAAGAACATATCGAAATATTAGAAAAAGTGTTATTGAAAATTGTACAGAATAACTTACAGCTGCGTTTAGATAAGTGCGAGTTTTTGCAGTCGAAGGTTTCATATTTAGGCTATGTTATTACTGGTGAGGGTTTACAAGCGGACGAGAAGGGACTGAACGCTATAGAAAACTTTGCCGTTCCGACTAAAGTCGTCGAAGTTCAGAGCTTTTTAGGCTTATGTTCGTACTTCCGAAGATTTATTAAGGACTTTTCGACTATAGCCAAACCCCTCGATGACCTAACGAAGAAAGACACAAAATTTCAGTTTGGCAAAGTAGAGTTAGAATCTTTCCACAGTCTTAAAACAAAGTTGAAAGCGTCACCACAGCGTAAATACCACAGTTTCGAGTTAGAAACTCTAGCGATTGTGTATGCATTAAAAAGGTTTAGAATATACTTGCAAGGCATAAAGTTCAAGATTATAACTGACTGCAACTCACTGACCTTGACGCTAAATAAGAGACATGAGTCCAAGAATAGCGAGGTGGGCGTTGGAACTGCAAAACTACGATTATGAACTCGAACATAGAGCCGGCAAAAGAATGCAGCACGTAGATGCACTAAGCAGAGTAAATAACATATTGGTAGTTCACGCAAATACTTTTGAAGAAAATCTTATCATATGCCAAAGTAGACGAGAAGGTAGGGGAAATAAAAAAGGAGTTAGAAGTTGGCGAGAACAGCCACTACGAAATGAGAACGGAATAGTATACAGGAAGGGTAGAAATCTACTTTTTTACGTACCTGAGTCCATGGAAAACCACGTTTTGTATAAGTACCATGACGAAATGGGACATCTAGGTGTAGACAAAGTTGTGGAAACTATAGGAAAGAGCTATTGGTTTCCGAGTGTTAGAAAAAAGGCAGTTGCCCACGTTGAGAACTGTTTAAAGTGTATAGCATTTTCAGGCAAAAGTGGTAGAAAAGAGGGACTTCTACACATGATACCGAAGGGAAATAAACCGTTCGAGATGATACACGTCGACCACTACGGACCGATTTATAGCAAGTCTATAAAACATAAGCACGTTTTGGTAATAATAGATGCGTTTACAAAGTTTGTTCGCCTCTATCCCGCGAAAACCACTGCGTCAAAAGAAGCAGTTGTAGCATTAAATGACTACTTCAGGGCATATAGCAGACCAAAGTTCATAGTGTCAGACCGAGGGACATGCTTTACTTCAAACGAGTTCGAGGAATTTTTAGTATACAACAACGTTGAGCACATCAAAGTCGCGACAAGTTCACCCCAAGCAAACGGCCAAGCCGAAATCGTTAACAAAAGCTTAGGCCCGATGATGGCAAAGATGGTTGATTCCGAGAAACAAATAGGGTGGGAAAAAGTGGTAGAGTCAGTAGAGCATGCGATGAACAACACGGTTCACAAAGCAACAAAAGAACAACCTAGCGTACTACTGTTCGGAGTAGCACAAAAGTTATAGATAGTCTTAGAGAAAACGTGTTAGAAACAATACAGGCATCGAACCCAGTAGCAATAGTAAAAGTTAGAGAGCAAGCGGAGGCAGTGCAAAGGAAGGCGCAAAGTTATAATAAAAAGTATTCAGATTTCAAACGGCGGGAACCACGACAGTTTACAGTTGGCGACTACGTGGTGGTTTCCAACGTCAGCTCACAGGTAGGAGCGTCCAGCAAGTTAATACCCAAGTTCAAGGGCCCATATAGAATTTCAAAAGTATTAGAAAACGACCGCTACGCGGTCGAAGATGTAGAAGGGTTTCAACAGACCCAAATATCTTACAAGGGCATCTGGTCAGTTACAAACCTAAAACCGTGGTACGATCATAGAAAAATCAAAGTCACAACAATATCATAAAATTTATTTATTAACACAAATTTCGTATAAACTGTAACACTGTATAAACTTAACGTCGTAGAATCAGGAGATTCTATGAGCCAGGACGGCCGAGTTGTAGGATTGTACGCACGTATATACGCGTGTGTGAATAGGGCTTTAGGCATATACATGTGCTTGTGTTTAGACCCTAAGAAGTAGATTAAATAACTAGACCCACGACAGTCGGGTCTACGTAACCGGAACGACACAGATTTATATCTGGCCAAGGACTGTCACTCCAGCAACACTCCCCAAAAAGTCTTTGGGGAATTTGTATGCTGCTACAACAACAACAACAACAACTAGTTGTAACTTTAGCGAGTAAGACCCGTTGGCTGTAAAACGCTATGTGCCATTTTAAAAGAAATAAAGAGGATCATTCGATTTTGGACACCGAGACCGACGGCCGCGTTTGATTTGTTATTTTGCCACCTGATACATTTCAAAACTAATTATCTTGGAACATTTTGCACTCAGTTTTTAAACAACCAAAACTATAAATTTGTACAATATGTTCATGTGAATCAAGCTGCGTTTCATGATTGGAGGCAATAAGCATCCATTCGTAGAACATGGCTTAGTCCGCGTGGCCGCTGTGCATTGATGCGCGACACGTATGTCTATATTGTTTTGAAGTTCATACACCTCATTATTCCATCATCAAAACTTACATATTTTTCTTAGTGTATAAAATTTGATTGGAACTGAATTAGAGAATGCACATATAGCAAAGTGTTCATCCATCTGGAAGCTAATTCAGTATTGAATTCTGTTTACTTCAGCATTCTCAGATTTTCATTCAGGTATTTACCACCTTGCTGTGTGAAATCAATTTTTTTTTAATAATTGTAGATTGAAAAAAAAATACAAGCCCCACCATAGCCACACTACCAGACAAAAAGAAAAAGAATGAAATCCTACTTGTAAATATTTCATGATTAAAAATTTAAATGATTTCACAGTTTCACAGTGGCGAAAGATAAAAAGGCTTTATGGCTTTCGAGAGCACTACTCGATGACATATTCAAAGCAAAAAAATACTATCCAAGAAGATAATTTAGGCAGGCCTTCTTAGTCTTGAAGTATTTCTAAAGGCTTGCCGAAGATGAAAAGCCTTTGGTGAAGCGATTCTAAGGGCTTACATAAGGGTAGCAAAATGTGCTTATCTGCATTGTCTGCATGCCTTTCTAGAAGGGTTTTCTTATCTACAATTTACGCGATATATAAAAGATCGCCTCGGTTGCACGTAAACTTCGTAAACTTGCTTAATTTTGTGTAGAAAACTGGTTTATTGGCAAGGCTTACACAGTTACGAGGCGTTTACGCGTTTAGATTAATACCGTTTATTTACATTACAGATAAATATGAATAACGTATTACTTTTATGAATAAAAGCAGCTAAAACAGAACTCCTAAGCCTAGCCTTCAGAATTATATCCTTCGAAAACCCGTCTATGGGTAGCAAACATATATCTAATACTAAGCAGTAAGCTAACTTCTCAATGTGTAAGCATTCCGAAATCAAAGCGAGACAGTCTAGTACCGTTTTTGTCAATGTATTGTGTACTTGAGTTCCGTTTTTGTATATGTGTTGTGTACATGTTTATTTATAAACGTTTGTGTTCCTTTTCTTTCGTACGTGTTTATTGATATATCTCTACTGTAGTGTTTTCGGACGGTACTAGCTCTTACTGCCAATATAGGAGTATTACATATATGGTAGCAAAGCATAAGCACTTTAATTTGTGCCACTCCATAAAAAACCAAAAGGAGTGCAGTGTGGAAACTTTCTTGCCTCTCAGGAAGAAATCTCACAAAGTAGTGAAGTGATTGGCGAAACATTTCTCATCATCCCATACGAAGAAGCTGTTGTCGACGAGGGATGAGAGCTTAAACAAAATTTTCAGTTTTTGGTGCTGTTAAGTAGTAGCTAGCAGTGCGCGCTACCACTACGCAGGGCTTAAGTTCAAGCCCTGGTCAAAGTAACATCGAAACAAATATAGGAGTTTTTCTTAACAGTGGTCGCCCCTCGGCTCCGATTATATTTCTGCCATGAAAACAGCTTCTCATAAAAATACAATCGCCGTTCGGAGTCGGCGTAAAACTGAAGGTACCTTCTCTTTGTGTGGCAACATCTATGCGCACACACAAATCGGAAGAGAAGCTCGGCCAAACACTTACATGTGTAAACGCCAATCTATTATTATTATAATACTGGGAGTAAATAATGCCTGAATAGCAGCTGTAAATCGACCACTGCCAACGGCGTCGAATTACCTATAACTTATTTTATATGTCAACATATTTAAAACTTACATGTTGAGAACTGTTTTCTTGTATAAACTGAGGTTCCCCATCTTGTAATATCCGTATGAACACTTTTAATGCGAGTTCTAAAAATGCTGGGTATGAAGGGCTTTGTATAATAAGCTCAAAATGTTCACTTAGTTCTTGCGCTGCTTTGAACTTAATTTCCTCTTTAGCTGATGGATCACTTAATATATTAACATAACTTCGGAAAGTGTTGAATTCATTTTGAGCCATTTTGGCAAGAAAAATATAATTATATTGCTAAATTGTTTGCGAAATAATACGATACACATATAGGGGCACAACAACGCTATAGTAAATACAACTGCATACTCGATACTTTTCGTTCGATACAAAGTAATTTTGGTATCGATACTTTTGAACCGAGAAATACTAATAAAGCATTCGCAGAAGGCGATTGTACAGGCAACAAAAGTTGA